AATGATAACACCGGCCGGTACAGCGATGCAGCTGCGGTGTCGAACACAGCTCAGAACGCGGGAAATTCAAATCATACAACTGATACAGTTAGTCAGTTATATAGCAAACCAAGGAGGTTTCAGTCCTCCTGGAGTCAGAGAATGTTGCGAACCATGATTACTCTGATGTTGTTTATCACGTCGATCTGTACGGTGGAGGGTAACTCGGACTGGCGGGAGTCAGCCTGCAAGATAAGGGCGTTTGATTGCAACACCCCTACGATGATAAACAAACTGCACCTGCACGATGTTTGTTTTATCCTGGAGAAGAAGTGGCCTGAGAAGTTAGCTGCAGTAAGACCAGCTTGGATCTTGGAGATCGAGGCGGAAGAGCCTGTGACCTTGGAACAGTGTAGGTCAGCAAAGAAGCTCCATGAAGTGTATCTCAGGACGAGAGGAGGAAAGGTAGCTGCTAAACACTCTAGAGTTTCACTCCCTACAGGCTGTTCAAGAAACTGGTGTGTTGATGGGCCCAAGGTGTATTTGCTGGATGATCAAGTTAAGACCTGTCCTTTTAAGAGGATCAGACCTGTTAACCTGAGAACCGAGGAGAATAACCTACTGATTTCAGACGAGTTGTCTATGCTGTTCAGGAGCTCTGGTTACCAGGATTACTCTGAATTGGGCTTTACTGAAGAACCGGAAGATTGCAAGAACAGAAACAGTTCAGATGGACAGATTACTCACCAATGTCGAGAATCAGTACTTGTCGAAGTATCGTTGATCTGCGATAACCGATAAACTTCGACAATCCCCCCTCCGGGGATGTGAAATGTATTCTACAATGATGTGCAATTCTAATTTGATAACTGTACTAATAATATTACTATCTTAATTATTTGTATATTGACCTAGCCGGGCTAGCCCGGTCAGTTTTCATTTTACCTGTTTATAAATAAATTAGTTGAATAGCATTTGTTGATTAATACGGACGTATACGGAGCCTTGAGTATTGGCTAGAGATAGAGAGCCTTGAGTTTTGGCAAGAGATATAGTTTAAGAGGATCTCATTAGACTTTGAGTAGAGTGATCGTTAGAGTAGTAGCATCTAGATTTGTTACAATAATAATAATAATAATAACAATAATAACAATACTGATAATAATAATAATAATAATAATTTACCTGAATAAGTTTTACAGGGTAGAGGACACTGAAATCCAGTGAGGCACCAAAAGACAAGATTAAATATTGCAATCCTTGATAAAATTTAATATTCTAAAGAGACTGTTCCACATTTATCACTCTGGAAGGGGATGATATATTTGGTGTACTGTACAATTTTGCCCTATTGTTTAATGTTATAGCCAATATAAAAAAATCAAAAGAATTTTTTTGGCACATCTTAGAATCAATAACAAAATTTAAACAGAGGTGGGAAGAGAGCGTGTGAAGCCAGAAGCTGTGTTTAACCGTAAATATTTGACATGTTATACGGATGGCGCGGTGGTGGGAGTCTAGGGCTGGGCACGTTCCGACTTTTTTAAAATCGTTCTGTTCCGTTCTAGATCGAGGGCCTTCAGCTTGATCGTTCCGTTCTCGTTCCATTTTTTCAATCGTTTCATTCTAGTTCCCGACTTAGAAAGCGTTCTTGATAACAAGAACGCAAATCTGATTTTAAACGTCCTTTTCAAGCACTTTCCGTTCCGTTCCGTTCCTTTACAAATAGTTCCAATATTTTTGAGAACGTGTTCTATGCGTTCGTTCTTTTTTCGGAACGGTTGGATCGTTCTTGATAGTTCAGTTTGTTCTCGTGAAAGAACTATCGTTCCCCAGGAACGATGCCCAGCCCCAGGTGGGACAATAATGGAGCCACGGCGGAGTTTACATGGTAACTAAATAGCATCAAGCCGACACACCTAGAACCATAGGCTATATCTAAGAGAATTTAAAACCACTTTAAGAAAATTAGAACAAAATTTAAGAAATATAAACAATGATAATTCAGATCTTTTCAAACATTTGAGCAGACAGAACAGAAAAGACGATTACATGGAAAGTTCTGATAATGTTGTTTAAGGTTAATGCGAAAAAGTCTTTTGAAGAAATATCTTTGGGATGGTTGGGTAGATTATTCCAAGCCGATGGGAAGAAATAAGAAGGAAAACGCTTTAAAAACTTAACCACAAAAATAGGGTGCTACTGGTACGAATATATTACGTGCTACATAGAGCTGTCATAATCCCTGATATTTTGAGATGGCATCCCGTATCGTATTTAATCCCTACAATTAAGACGTGAGAAAACATATTAGTTTACAAAATAATAATTAGTTTTTAAAACCTCTCGACCAAATTTTTGTTGTGAACTCGGTTAAAGCACGGAAATGTTCTTAGATTGATTTAAAAACTTGACTTTAAAGAGAAAGTTTTTGTTCAGGCAAAGCTGGGTTCCCAATCTATTGTGGAATAAAGGTATTTACAAATGTTTTTGTAAAATAAAAAATAAAATAAAATAGGACAGATCCAACCCTCAATCTTATATAGTTTTCCAAGTTAAAATTTTCTAAATTAATTCTTTTTTCTGTAAGTAAGACAACCCACCATTGAGAAAAACGAATTTCTGCTAGAAAAATAAGAATATCTTTCTCATCCCTGATCAAAAAAATCTCGACGACGTATAACTTGGCACTCTATAAATGGAGGCTCATTTGAAATTACGTGTACGGTCCCTTGTTGAATATATCTAACCTACCCGTGTACAGGCCATTAAACCTTGTTGAATATATCTCACCTACCCGTGTACAGGCCCTTAAACCTTGTTGAATATATCGAACCTACCCGTGTACAGGCCCTTAAACCTTGTTGAATATATCTAACCTACCCGTGTACAGTCCCTTAAACCTTGTCGAATATATCGAACCTACCCGTGTACAGTCCCTTAAACCTTGTTGAATATATCTAACCTACCCGTGTACAGTCCCTTAAACCTTGTTGAAAATATCTAACCTACCCGTGTACAGGCCCTTACACCATGTTGAATATATCTAACCTACCCGTGTACAGTCCCTTAAACCTTGTTGAAATTGAATATATCTAGCCTACCCGTGTACAGGCCCTTAAACCTTGTTGAATATATCGAACCTACCCAAAAGGGAAGATACCGTGTTGAAAGATGGCGGTGGTGAGAACAAAGAGAAGAATATTTCCTAAATTAAACATAAATTCAAATTTTTCGATCATAATTATTTAAACACAACTTCCTTTATAAATGCTTGATCTCTCAAAGTCAATTCACTAAATTCTGATCGGGATCGGGATAAGGGGTGGGGGCCTTAGCGGATAAGAAAGTGTGATACATTGTCCCTAATGGCTAATTCCCTAGTCAAACTTTCCAAAGTCATCTTATTTTTGAAGAATATATAGACATTTTCAAGGGCTTTTCAAATAAGTAAGGTTTACATCAGGGTGACTGTAACTCAAATAATAAAAAATTATTTTTTATGTTTTTATTTTCGAACTCCGACCAGCCCCTTGATACCATAAATAAAAGTTTATAAAAAAACTGACGACGACTGCATTTCTTTAACATGAAGAGTTATAATGAAAAATAAAGATGAACATTTCTTAAAGTAAAGCACACATGAACCTGTTCTACAATGTTAAAGGTGTAAAGAGAGTGTAAGCTACCAAAACAAACTTTATAAGAAAAGAATAAAAGAAAGTTTACAAAAACTTAGAATTTAGTAGTTTTCAATGTCATGTATGTAATTTAGTTTATCCAAAATCATACAGCTACTTTTGTTTTCATTTTCTTTTTTTGGCTGCTCTGTTTTATTTGTACATTTTCTTAAATTCACTTTCCTTTGAATTTTTAGAGTATAGAGTTGGTTACCGTTTTCTGGTTCTCACTGTATATTTATTAATGTAAACGTGCTTTTATAATTCCAAACACCAGCTTAAAGTATAAAAATATAAATTTTGCAGCTTTTTATCAAAATAACAGCTTGATTTAATTTGTAATCATAAATTCAATATTTTGGAAAAAGAAATATGGTTTGTAGGGGTTGAGAGATGCATTAATTACTTTTTTACATTAACTTGTCTTTTAGTAACTTCGATAAAAAAGAATTGTACTTTGTTACCTCAGATAAAAAATATACTCTGTTACCTTTGATGGTTGTGCAACGCTCTGCTACATCCGAATAAAGGATTTGTACTCTGTTACCTCCGATGAGAAAAATTTAACTCTGTTACTTCCGATGAGAAAAATTTAACCCTGCTACCTCCGATTAGAAAAATTGAGCTCTGTTACCTTCGATAAGAAGAATAATAATTTTTTACCTCCGAGAAAAAGAACTTTACTTTGTTGCCTCCGATAAAAAGAGTGGAACTCTGTAACCTCCGATAAGAATAAAAGTTCTGTGTTTCCTCCGATAAGAAAATTGTGTTCTTTTATTCCGATAAGTGTACTTTGTTACCTCCGATAAGATTAATAGAACTCTGTTACCTCCGATTAGAAGAACAATACTTTGTTACCTCCGATATAAAGAGTTGTTCTCTATTGCCTTCGATGGACTGAATTATATTCTTTTACCTCCGATATTATAGAAAGCGTATTATGCTACTTCCAGTATTAGAAAGTGTGCGATGTTACCTCCTATATTATTATTTGTGCTATGTTTCCTCCGAAACTAGAAATTGGAATCTGTTACATTTGTTGCATAAAACGTGCTGGGTAGTCCAGACTAAACAGTACGAATGACTGCGCGCATATAAATATACTCTATTACCTCCGATATCATTAGTGTACTCTGTTACCTCCGATATCATTAGTGTACTCTGTTACCTCCGATATCATTAGTGTACTCTATTACCTCCGATATCAGGAAGTGTACTCTGTTACCTCCGATATCATTAGTGTACTCTGTTACCTCCGATGAAGAGTGGGTGCCCGAAGTACGGAACAAAGATATAACACCACGCCAAACAGTCTTCCCCGGCCTGCCCCAGTACACATCAAACAATGGTTAATGGTTAAAATGTAACTAGTTCAAAAAAAATCGCTGGAAAGTGGAAACTTCTGAACTTCTTGGAACCTTTTTAAATGTACACCCTTTATTATCAAATATTATCAAATACGTGAAATCAATGAAAACACTTTTAGAAATTTATAAACTGGTTTATTTAGCACAGTGATCTAAAGTTTGATGAAAGTTTTGCTTACTGCTTCTTTTCAACTAAAGCTTTAAAAAATTGTTTCTAAAATTTGCATTTCTAGGGATACAAAATCAAAGGCTAGGTAAAATGAAAGGCTAGGCTTTAAATATAAATGCAACTTTTCATGGCAGTCTGGATCTATGTGTCAAACATAAGACATTCATCCTATACTTGTTTCCTTACTACACTTTGTTGGGTTTATTGTGGATGTTTTGTTTAAGTTTGTTTATAAGTTTATGTACACTTGAAATGTTATGAAATGTTTATAGTTTAAGAATGTAAACTGCATAAGTAAGATGGATGGATAGACACATACAATAGATAGAATAAAGAATAGATGAACATAAAATAATGTTTTAACCAGATTATATCATTTTGTAAAAATGAAATAGATAGATTGATATACATATAATAGCTATATGTATCTATATTGCTGGATTTTATGCTGATTATTGCCATACATGATGTTTCATGTTTTCACAATCCATGATATAGAACTTCCGCAAGAATTAAGTAAATGAATGAATCAAAATATTTTTAATTTTACCAAACTGTGTCATATTAATTGATAGATAGATAAATAAATAGATATGTATAGATTGTAAGTGTTAGTATGATCTATGGATTACTAAACTATATTTTCTACCGAAAGATTGTCGAAATAATTCAGCATTATGTTTTTCTACAGACTCAATCGCCAATTAACAAGCATTTTGATACTTCTAAAAAAAAATTCAATCCTAAAATATTAAGTAAATTTATTGAAATCTAATATGTTTTCAATCATAACTCCTCTTATTGAAAAGCTATTGAGAAGAACAAAAATTTTGAATTACTAATGTAAAGTTCCGTTTTCTCAGACATGTGGTTAATATCAAAACTAGATAAGATACAAGGTCACAAAGAAGTCCCAGTAAATTGACCTTCTGTGTAGCTTGCAGTACAGGTGCATGATATCCTTTCCATTTTTCATTATTCCGGAGCCACGTGGATTTAACTTTGACGTTCGTTCACACAATGACTTTTTGTCGACGTAGGCGTTTAAAGATTAATTAACGACACTCTTTAAGTTTTAAGGTTGTTGAATTATAGACCACAACGTGATTGAATTCCAACAGCAGACACCGAACGCATCTCGCCCTGGTTCGCCCAAGGTGGGGCTTATAGATATATGAATTTCAGAACCAGAGCTTTACACTAAGAAAGTAACAAGCTTTTAAAATGAACTGTGTCCGAATTTAATGAATTTAAGCCACATATCAAATCCCTCAAAAACCGGTTATAATTAAGCGCCGGCTTAAATCTTAAATTAAATACATTTTTAGTGGAAACAACCATACTTAAGCGGCGGATCAAATTCTTTAAATTCGGCCTCTGTGATTTTTAGATCTGGAGACGTATATTTACTGTAGAAAATCAGTAGATTGGGTGAATCTTTAATATAATCTGTAACTGTTATGGTTAGATCTGGAGACGTATATTTACAGTAGAAAACCAGTAGATTGGGTGAATCTTTAATGTAATCTGTTACTGTTATGTTTAGATCTGGAGACGTATATTTACAGTAGAAAACCAGTAGATTGGGTGAATCTTTAATGTAATCTGTTACTGTTATGTTTAGATCTGGAGACGTATATTTACTGTAGAAAGCCAGTAGATTGGGTGAATCTTTAATGTAATCTGTAACTGTTATGTTTAGATCTGGGACGTATATTTACTGTAGAAAACCAGTAGATTGGGTGAATCTTTAATATAATCTGTAACTGTTATGGTTAGATCTGGAGACGTATATTTACAGTAGAAAACCAGTACTTGGTGAATCTTTAATGTAATCTGTAACTGTTATGGTTAGATCTGGAGACGTATATTTACAGTAGAAAACCAGTAGATTGGGTGAATCTTTAATATAATCTGTATCTGTTATGTTTAGATCTGGAGATGTATATTTACAGTAGAAAACCAGTACTTGGTGAATCTTTAATGTAATCTGTAACTGTTATGTTTAGATCTGGAGACGTATATTTACAGTAGGATACCAGTAGATTGGGTGAATCTTTAATATAATCTGTTAAAGTTCGCTTAAAATTACGTTGACTGTCTCTCTAAAAGTACATTTTGTTACGACATGTGCTCGTTTTTGCAACTTTTTTGGATTGTTTTAGCATATATCTTCTGTCAGAGTCAAAATATGTAAGTGTAAAAATTTGCTTTGTAACAAAATCAAATACACTTAAGTATTGCTATAATGTCGTCTTCATATTCCATTCTTTTCTGGTTATCAAGCATTCAAAAATATTTAATATTATAAAAAAATATTATTTCACTGCAATCCTTACATTACATTATGTTTTTTTTTTTGATGAATAGTCAAGTCCGAATTTCATTCAAAATATACATATAGTTAAAATACTTCAAGTGAAGGGGTGCAAACAAACTATAGAATTTAAATTATGAACAGTCCCTTGAGCTGCTTTAGCGGAGTAACTTGAAGATCCTCCATAGGCTTGTAGAGCAATACTAATATACAGAGGGGGTTCTCTCTTAGGTAGATAGATAGATAGATAGATAGATAGCTAGATAGATAGATAAATAGATAGATAGATAGATAGATATATATAGATAGATAGATAAATTGATAGATAGATAGATAGATAGATAGATAGATAGATAGATAGATAGATAGATAGATAGATAGATAGATAGATAGATAGATAGATAGATAGATAGAGTAACACATCAAATACATTTCAACCAAATTATTTGATTCTGTAGAAATTTCAAACATTCAAACATCTTATTTTACTTCACATTAGAGCACAAGACAAACATAAAATAAAATTCAATAGAAAATTGTAAATTAAAAAAAAGAAATTCAATACAAAATCATTGCAATACAAAATAAATTTAATAGAAATCAATGTAATAGAAAAAAAATTAAGTACAAAATAAAATAATAACAAATCAATTCAACACAATGTAATTTCCTCAAAAACCATGCAAGTATAAAGCATTTAATACCTGACCAAATAATATCTTATCTTGCGACATTAAAACTCATGATTAGTACTGAATAAAGACCTCCAACTAAGTAAATTGTACTTGAAGGAACTGTATTTGTAATTTGATGTGACACTTCAAGCAAATATGACAATGCTCGATTCACAACTGTACCCCTAAAAGCTTTGTCTGATCAATTGTGAATTAGAAATCCAGGTTTTTGTTCCTTCAAACTATTTATTTTCATTTGCGGGTTCTCTACGAAAGTTACTTGCGGAGAAATTATCATAAAGGCCACTCTCAGTGGTTGAATTCACTTTCCTGAGTCCGAATTTAATAAATTTGTACCGCGTCTCAAATCATCCAAAAAAACATTAATCTTAAGATTAAAACAAAAGGAGATGAAGTATTGATCTCGACATACACAATTCGAAAGTTTTCCGCTTTGAAAAATGAAGAATTCCTTTCCGGAAATCATTAAACTAATTACTCGGTAATTAAATATCATTAAACTAATTACTCGGTAATTAAACATCATTAAACTAATTACTCGGTAATAAAATATCATTAAACTAATTACTCGGTAATTAAACATCATTAAACTAATTACTCGGTAATTAAACATCATTAAACTACTTACTCGGTAATTAAATATCATTAAACTAATTACTCGGTAATTAAACATCATTAAACGATTTACTCGGTAATTAAACATCACTAAACTAATTACTCGGTAATTAAACATCATTAAACTAATTACTCGGTAATTAAATAGCATTAAACTAATTACTCGGTAATTAAACATCATTAAACTAATTACTCGGCAATTAAACATTATTAAACTAATTACTCGGTAATTAAACATCATTAAAATAATTACTCGGTAATTAAACATCATTAAACGAATCACTCGGTAATTAAACATCATTAAACTAATTAATCGGTAATTAAACATCATTAAACTAATTACTCGGGAATTAAATATCATTAAACTAATTACTCGGTAATTTAGCATCATTAAACTAATTACTCGGTAATTAAATATCATTAAACTAATTACTCGGTGATTAAACATCATTAAACGAATCACTCGGTAATTAAACATCATTAAACTAATTAATCGGTAATTAAATATCATTAAACGAATTACTCGGTAATTAAACATCATTAAACTAATTACTCGGTAATTAAACATCATCAAACTAATTAATCGGTAATTAAACATCATCAAACTAATTACTCGGTAATTAAATATCATTAAACTAATTACTCGGTAATTAAACATCATTAAACTAATTACTCGGTAATTAAACATCATTAAAATAATTACTCGGTAATTAAACATCATTAAACTAATTACTCGGTAATTAAATATCATTAAACTAATTACTCGGTAATTAAACATTATTAAACTAATTACTCGGTAATTAAACATCATTAAACTAATTACTCGGTAAGTAAACATAATTAAAATAATTACTCGGTAATTAAACATCACTAAAATATTTTACTCGGCAATTAAAACTCATTAAACTAATTACTCCGTAATTAAACAGCATTAAACTAATTACTCGGTAATTAAACATCATTAAACTAATTACTCGGTAAGTAAACATAATTAAAATATTTTACTCGGCAATTAAACATCATTAAACTAATTACTCCGTAATTAAACATCATTAAACTAATTACTCGCCAATTAAACATCATTAAACTAATTACTCCGTAATTAAACATCATTAAACTAATTACTCCGTAATTAAACATCATTAAACACAAATTATCCTGATTGCTGTATGTAACACTCTGGGGAAAATGTATATTTTTATCAAGACAGACTAAATTTGTAATTGTCATTTTTTGTGGTAGTATATTTACAGTGGGACTGCATACATATATGTTAACTTTAACATTAACATGAACATTAGTATATTTACAGTGGGACTGCATATATATATGTTAACTTTAACATTAACATTAACACTAGTATATTTACAGTGGGACTGCATATATATATGTTAACTTTAACATTAACATTAACACTAGTATATTTACAGTGGGACTGCATATATATATGTTAACTTTAACATTAACATTAACACTAGAATATTTACAGTGGGACTGCATATATATATGTTAACTTTAACATTAACATTAACACTAGTGTTTAGTAACTCTTATACTCGTTGATTAGTTACTACATATTACTACCATCTTACTACCAAATGACTATTCCTAAATATTAATTCTTCTCTATTCAGGATGGATCTCAGGAGAGAAAACTCCACTGGATAAACTGATAACTACTATTAGACCAAATAAACTAAATTTTAAAATAACTTTCTTTCTTTCATTAAATCTAAGACATTTTATGTATTTATACTTAATCAACGTCGCCTTGATGTTAATTGCCACGCGGGACTTTATTCGTTGATTATTGTTTACGGCTTAATTTAGGCCTTGGTTCAGTGAAAATTCAATTGAAAAGACTTAGACTATCAATAGATAGGACATATATTGAAAGCTCAGAACGGAGCTTATACTGAATCAACCTTGTTTCAATGTTAAGTTATTCCTGTCATGTATTTATGGAAATGGAGCGGACTTTGTTCTATATGATGGAGACGAAGTTCAGAAGATTAGATTCCTTGAGGAAGGAAATATTCATGAATAGGCATCAAATGATTTGAATTATGGTTTACTAACATTTCTAAGTTCAAGACCGTCATATAATATGTTCTGAACAATTGTTTCTAAGACATGATACCTTATGGTTATATTAACTATTTCCTCCAATATTTAAGTCCTTTTATTGGAGCTGATTATTTTCTAAGTATAACTTTTGTAATTTACATGGAGACCTTTTAAGTATTATTCTAAGTATTCTTTCTAAGTTAAGAAGATATAAATCAATCAATCATTTATTTACTAAGTCCATATTAGTCAAATCAATTTTAAATACAAGTCCAAATCACACTGTGGTTCAAAATATAGTACTTATGAATTTAAATTACATTACAACAGATTATAAGGTGACCTAATATATGTGAAAGAGCTTACCCATGATATGAAGACCGACTGGAGGAGATGTTTCCNACTTTAACATTAACATTAACACTAGTATATTTACAGTGGGACTGCATACATATATGTTAACATTAACATTAACATGAACATTGGTATATTTACAGTGGGACTGCATATATATATGTTAACATTAACATTAACATTAACATTGACTTCAAACATTAACATTAACATTAACTTTAACATTAACTTCAAACATTTTACAAACAATTTTAAGTATAAATGAAAACGTTAACATGTACATTGGTAAATATATAATGTCAGTGATTCAGTATATTGTTAATAAATCCATAAATAATATTATATAAAAAAGATTTTAATTATTAATATGTAAAAATTAACAACGAATAAAGGAATTGAGTCTTTGCCACAAACTCTGATTTTCTAATATATTTATCTATGCGACCTGAGATATTTCAAACTATGAATTCTGTTAGATTAAATAATCTAAGTTTGAAATATTAAAGGTTTATATAATCAGATTGCAAAGATATGGGAATTAGAAAATTTGAGTTTGTGCCAAAAACTCAATTCCTTTATAAATCATAAAATATACATATACCTAAATGTTTTTTTCTATGTTAATATCAATTAACATTATCATTTATATGTTAATATTAACATTAATTAAATCAATCAAATCACCAATAGTCTCATATATATATATATATAGAGTCTCTAATAATTACACTTTTGTTAACATCTTGACAGATTATATAAATGTTATTGCTTTATTTGTTCTCAAATTTAATAAAAACCTGATCGAGCTCATCGAAAAAAAAGTTTTTTGTCGCTTCACTCCACGTGGATTTAACGGTTCTGTCAATATTCCAGAACGCTGTGACTTTCGATCACAATTTTACCCATTAAACACATTTTTTTAGTCTTTTTTCTTGAATACTTTTTTGTCGACATATGCATTTTGAAGGAAAAAGTATAGAATAAGCATATCCGTAAGGTAAAACATTGTTGAATTATAGACCAAAACACGTTTGATTTCAATTAGAAGAAACCGAATGCTGCTCACTCTGGTTAGTCCGGGGTGACTCGTAACTTTTGATGCATACTCATTGTCCACACTTGATACATGGCACTTAGTAATTTTTAGTTGCCCTCGTAAAGTAAATACATTTGTTCGAACTGTTTTGATCCCTACAGCCCCAGATCAGGGGGCCCCTATTGTTCTGAAGTTACACCCCCACCCCCTAAGAATTTTTTTCTGATTATTTTGTTTGACATATTTATACCTTAAACTCAAAAATTCCTATATCTTTGCAACCTGATGTTGTAAACCTTTGATATATCAATAGTAATGAACTATGTTATCTAACATTATTCATAGTTCGAATTATGACATTGGGTTGCAAAGATCTGATTGTGTGGAAAGTACTCAGTTTCTATGAAATGCTATACAAAAACCTTTTTTAATTATGTGCACTCGAAGAAACTTTGCCTACTGCAATCAGAAGAGAGCGTACCTTTCTAATAGCGGTCCCGGCTTTACAGTTTGGTGGAGCAATTCGAGTTGCACATCTTGATCCTGAAGGGGAGTAAAAAATGTACATAGAATAAAACAAGATTTCATCTTCAGTCTGGTGTAACTGAAAGCAGTAGTCTAATCCCTGATGGGTATACAAGACATGCACAACGATACTGGTTTTTGACTCAACCAGCTGTGAGGACTGGACTGCTGTGGAAGATTCCTCTCCGGGTGGGCTTTAGGGCTTACATACAACTCCCCATTTTTCATAAAGGATTCAGTTATGGGCTTCTGTATTACCCCTTAACTCGGAAAGAGTATAACAGAAGGAATATAGGAAGCAATCCCCCATACCCTTCCTCCTACACACCTCTTTATCTCTCTCCTACCTGCTCCACAACTCGATGTCAAAAGAGCTATTTGGAGAGGCCTCAGAGTGTAAAAACAAGATAAACAAGAAGAAAGAAGAAAATATTGAACAGGAAAGTTAGAAGTATTTTTTTTGCCGATAGCGAATGAAGACAAACAAGGGATGGAGATGCCCTTCCCCCCTCCTCTATGTATTCCACTGGAAAAAAGATTCTCTAGAAAGTGTGTGAATGAAGCTAACTCAAGAATCCTGAAATGTTGAAATGCTTAGTCAGACCATACATGAACAAGAACAAATATGCATCAGAAATATGCATCAAAATGCATTTTCCCTTGTCTACAAAAGATCAGAATGAGTAGCTCATCTAGTTCAATTAATTAAATACAGGGTTAAAAAAACAAGATCCTTTAAAAATAGTTCTTTCTTGTAAAGTAGTGAACTACAAGAACATCCAAAAAAAATTCTTTTCTTTTTATTTTCAAAATTAACCAAAATATGATTGAAAGATGTACAAACAAGAAAATGAAGAACAAGAAATATACAAATCTCTAAATATTTCCATCTAATATAATAAAAAATTATTGTAAAATTTAATTAAAATGAATTATTAAAGTTAAAAACAGTTTGCGCATAAAAACAGAGTTTATTATTGAAAATTATAATTGCATGCGACATAATTAATTACATCTTTCCATACTATACATCATCTGACACTTCCACATGCTGTTTTGTTATTACATCTCTGCATGCTGCATGTGATCTGCATTGAAGAATGCTGGTAGAAATGCAGTCCTAGGAAGATCCCAACTATCTGTCACCAAAGCTTAAACAATTTTTTTATTTTAATTATGAACCTAAAAAATGACAAAGAGACTTTATACTGACCCTTCATGCAAGGATGGTAATGCCCGATTCAGAACAGAACCCTTGAATCCTTTATCTGATTAATACTGTGGAAGATATTGTAGTTTTTCTAGGTTTAAAATCAAAATGGGCAAAACACTTTTGTAGAGAACCCAAAATTGAAAAAAATGAGTTTTTAAAATTATGATCATTGATATGTAATTCATACTTGATCAGACAAAGCTTTAATGGTACCGTTAAGAATCGTGCAATGCCATCTTTACATATGGACGACATGAAATTACAGTTAAAGTCCCTTGAAAACAAGAACAATTTAAGAAGTATCAATATTTTTTTCTTTTTATCATTATTTGTACTTTTAGATTAAACCTGAGCCCGAAATTTAAGAGAGTTTTGTTGAACGAAACTCCCGAGTTTCCTTTTTGGAGTCTAAACATTTGTGTAGATTTTGACTTAAGAATTTAGAAAGAAATGGAGAGTATAAAATTAAACTAAATAGCACCAAAGCTGCCTGACCCCATTCATGAAACTGTTTTTTCGATAGTATAGGTTTCATGACACTGCCCCGTTTTAAGTTTCTGGCCCTGGGAGAAGTTGATTAACTGTTGAACTAATATTATGGTATAGGAAACATGGGTATTGGATTTATTGGAAATAGAGGAGAATAAGAAATGAGGATTACGGATACAGCGACTTTTATCAGAGCTGAAAACTTTAGAATGAGATATCCGTAATTATATGTTATCTATAACCTTTAGTAAGTAGAATATATTAGTGAATGAGAGAATATAATAAAATATAAATACCTTTAGTTAGTAGAATATTAGTGAATGAGAGAATATAATGGAATAATATACCTTTAGTTAGTAGAATATTAGTTAATGAGAGAATATAATGAAAGAATATACATTTAGTTAGTAGAGTAGAATATTAGTGAATGAGAGAATATAATGGAATAATATACCTTTAGTTATACCTTTAGTTAGTAGAATATTAGTGAATGAGAGAATATAATGAAATACATATACCTTTAGTTTGTAGAATATTAGTGAATGAGAGAATATATTGAAATATATCTACCTTTAGTTAGTAGAATATTAGTTAATGAGATAATATAATGGAATAATATACCTTCAGTTAGTAGAATATTAGTTAATGAGAGAATATAATGAAAGAATATACATTTAGTTAGTAGAAGAATATTAGTGAATGAGAGAATATAATGGAATATATACACCTTTAGTTAGTAGAATATTAGTTTATAAGAGAATATAATGGAATATACACCTTTAGTTAGTAGAATATCAGTTAATGAGAGAATATAATGGAATAATATACCTTTAGATAGGAGAATATTAGTGAATGAGATAATATACTGGAATATATATACCTTTAGTTAGTAGAATATTAGTGAATGAGAGAATATAATGGAATATATATACCTTTAGTTAGTAGAATATTAGTTTATAAGAGAATATAATGGAATACATATACCTTTAGTTAGTAGAATATTAGTGAATGAGATAATATAATGGAATATATATACCTTTAGTTAGTAGAATATTAGTGAATGAGAGAATATAATGAAATATATATACCTTTAGCTAGTAGAATATTAGTGAATGAGAGAATATAATGGAATATATACACCTTTAGTTAGTAGAATATTAGTTTATAAGAGAATATAATGGAATACATTTACCTTTAGTTAGTAGAATATTAGTGAATGAGAGAATATAATGAAATATATCTAACAATGGTAGACCAAGCATAGTTCCTTCCCTAGAAGATACAATACTTTAATGTAGAGATATGAAGTTATGAAATAAGACAGTGCATATTTATAGAAACACAAAACATGGATTTAAAAGGGGGTACAGTAATACAGGCATTTACAAACAGATATGCTTTGCTGTAAAATGCTATGTTTCAAAGTTTGGTAAAATTGTGGTATCGTGGTACCACATAACGTGCAATAAACTGGTATCTAAAAATCTACACTTAATGAGATTTATACAAGTACTTAAAACTGTTTTTTAT